GTCTATAAACTCACTAGGGGGGACCAGAAGGGTTTGGGGGAGACGCTGTTTCCCCTAGCGCCCGCTGGCATAACAAGGAGTAATGGGCACAAGTTGATGGAGAGGAGGTATAGATTGGACATCCGCAAAAACTACTTCACAGTTAGGGTGGCTAGGAGCTGGAACCAACTTCCAAGGGAAGTGGTGCTGGCCCCTACCCTGGGGGTCTTTAAGAAGAGGCTGGATGCCTACCTGGCTGGACTCATTTGAGTCCCGTTTTTTGGGGTTTTGTTGTTCTCCCGCCCTGGCGGGGTGTCGGGCTAGAAGATCTACTAGGTCCCTTCCGACCCTAAATCTATGAAACTATGAAACTCTCCTGTTTGTACCTGACAGTTACTCCAGACCACCAATAACTCCCCAATGAACTCCAAGCCCCAACAAATCAAGATGCAATCAACAAAAAAGGGAGCTGTTATGAAACGAGAGGATGCTGTGTCTCAGAGTGGGACAGCCCCAGCGGGGCCCCCAGCAGGGGATGATGCCACTTCATCAGGAGCAACACCATCTCTACCTTCTAGTGCCCTGCAGCCACCGGTAAGCAAAAGTAATTCCCATCTCTCTTAACTATTCACATCCTCCGCTCAGCTGTTTGTCTTGGCTTCTTGATAGCATCAACATAACTTCCCCTCTTTTAGGACTGATGACAGGAACAGGTTACAGGGGTACAACCAGCAATTTGTCTGATGGCAGCCAGTCTTTTCAGCAGGGCGTTGTTTGTATTCCTCTAGAACCAGCACCTAGTACCTCAGTCCTGGACCAGAAGCTTCCTGTGTAGGCACTTTACAAGCACAAAATGACAGTTCCTGCCCCAGAGCTTATGATGTAGACATTCTGTGTGCTGCCTTCACATCTCTTCTGTCTTCTTGTTCAGAGCTCCAGGCTTTTTTACCTTTCTCCAACTTTTAATTAACTTGACTCCCAGCCTGACAGTACAAGGAGGTTTCTTGCCTTCCATACTATTAAGGTGGGTCTAGATGGGGCATAGCTAGCAAAAGGACTCTGCCTTGAACTTCATATCCTTTGTCCAGGCCTCCTTTATTCCAGTTGTTTGTTCCCCATGATCATCACACTGTCGCTGTCCCTGAACCCAGCTGGCTAGTGGGAAATGCTGTGGGGCCTGTGTCTGTCTTGGTGCCTGTCTGAGGCTTCTTTCTCTCTCTATCTGTCTTGACTGCAGTATCACTAAAGGGCTACGCTGTAGCCTACTGTGCATGCTTTATGTTTTTTGCCCTGTCCCTGGGTGTTTGTGTTGCTGTGCTCTTGCTCATCTCTGCCTCTCTCTTCCTGCTGCTTTCCTTCAGACTGCACTGGATGAAGAGCCCCACAACCGTGAGGGCAATAAGGTATTTTTGCATCCTGATGGCCGGTTTGAGATGATAGTGGTCTTGTTGACCTGGGTCTGGGAGCAGAGTCCTGTTAGCAAGAAAGCTCTGATTTTTCTCCTGCCATTACTCATGAAACAGACCCTGGATTTCTAAGATGCTGAATACCTTCAGCTTCCCTTGACTTCAGTGTGAGTGAAGCGTTCAGAACTTCTGAAACTCAGAAACAAAATTCATCAGTTCCTGCCTGGTTCCTTCGAGTGACTGTAGGAATTTGATCCTGAGATGCTCGTCCCTAGTCTTCTCCTAGTGAATGTGTGTCATAGTCCTGCACCAGTTGTATATGTGTAACTTTTTAATATTGGGGATCACTGCAAACTGATGCTTCTTTTCTTGCTTTCCAGTCGAAGGTTGGAGGAGGGGGCCGGCGACGAGGGGGCCAGCGCCATAAAGTGAAATCTCAGGGGGCTTGTGTGACTCCTGCTGGTGGCTGCTGAACATCCCCCCTAGCTCCCCACCAACCCCTCCCCTAAGGAGTTCCTCCCCCTCCTTCCATTTCTTATCCAAGAGATCCAGAGCAGCTTAAACCAAAACACCCATCCCAGCTGATCAGCTGCAGAAGAACCTTCCCTCCCAGAGGAATGACCAAGGGGTTATAATTTATAAGCTAATGAAGGTGATAAAACACCTGGAACTGAGCGAATGACATGCTCCTCCTCCCTCTAACAACACATTTTTGTACATCATGGGCTAAGTTTTTATTCTTAGTTTTTATTATATTTTATGTGCATGAAGATGACAGGAGAATCCAGATCTGTTGGAGAAGAGCCAGCCAGCCCCCCTCTCCCCCCTCCCCTCAAATTTTGTCTCATTTACTCACTACCTTCTCCTATGCACTGTCCCAAATCCATTGGCATTAGAAGATCTGAAATTCCAGACCTCCAGGGGTTAGAAAGGTGTGAAATAGGTGGCTGGCTGGAGGGAGCTGTAATTCAGGCAAGATGCCAAATGAGTTCTGGAACCTCCTTCTCTCAAGCTGTTTTTAAATGGGTTGATTTTAACATGGCAGTGACGGGAGTTTTGGAGGAGGCCTCCAAAGAATTGACCAGATAGACCAGAAAGAGGAAGGCAAATCCCAGAGCAATCCTAGATCCTAAGCAGGTATATGTTTTCCTCCATACTTCTTCCCCTTGCCCACATGCAAAGCTGAGAGCTGTAAAAGTTTTAGATCAAAACTGGGACCCAGCAGGATGTCTATCACCTTCCCTTCCTTTTGTCATGTCTGTTCAGTGCTTACAGATCTTACCTGCCCCTCAAGGCTGTGGCAGCCCAGTGACAGTGTTACCAATGTAGTGCAGGAACGCTGAGTCTGTCCCTTGCCCGGGACAGAGCTGCCTCCCCCGTGACTGAACAGTGATCGCAGGGGGAATAAACCCTTTGGGACTGGAGACTGCAAACCACCTTTGCTTGACTCCTCCATTTGCTCTGAGATCTCTCTTCAGGACTTGCTGGCTAGCCAATGCTCCAGGGCTAATAGAATTGGTCAGTTGTCTTTGTGGAAGGGAGGACGTGACCAGTCAGTTTCAGATGTAGGAAAGCACTTTCAGCCTCAGGAGCCACACGGTGGCTTTTTATACCCACCCCACCCCTTTATTTTTTTACAAAGTTCTTAGCTTCTTGGAGAGAGCCTGCAGGAGTCTCTGAGCTGACTTGCTTTATCAGTATCATGTCTTTTTAACTTTGGGCTCCATAACTGATCAGCTTCCAGCTTGTTCTTATTTCTCTCCTTCCATACGCGCCTCTTCAGAGGAGGTCTGTGGAGGACAAGGCTTATCCTCAGCTGACTTATGGCAAGCAGTGGGTGTGTTAGAGTCTTGAGGGAGGAAGTGGAGCTATCAGCAAGTCACTGCTCCCCACTGGAAGTAAGGTCAGCCACTGTTCCCTTTTTGTTCAGGGGCCCTCCACCTCTGATGGAAAGCTCCTTTTCCAGAGGCAGACTTAAAGCCTCAGCCCATCTTTAGAGGGACTTCCCTGGTTCTGTCCTTACTGTGGCTACTGCTGGGACAGAGGTCATTCTGGGTCACCCTGTGATTTGAAGTCAGCTAAAGCAAGGTGGGCTGTAAGTGTCTCAGGGAAGAGTGGAGCTGATGCAGGTATTGGCACTCAGAGCAAGATGCCGTGAGAGGGATACAGGACAGATACGAGGGTATTTTGCCTTAGAGCCTCTAGTGGCCTGAGCATGGATGGGAGTGGGGCAGGAGTACAGCCCCTCTCAAGCTATGTGCCTAGCTCTCCTGAGGAGGAACCACATGCAGCTACAGCACTAATAGCACCCTCCTTGTGAAGGGGTGTGAGGTGTGTCTCGTATCAAACTGCATCTGATTTCACTGTCCTCTGCTCCCAAGGGAGGCAGAGAACTCTAGGCTGACTTACTTCTCTTTCTTCATTCTTTGAGCTCCCAGTGAAGAAGCCTAGGGTTGAGGAAGGTTTACTTAACTTCATGCAAAGGAGGTGTTGTGATCTCTCTCTTGTGACCAGGATTCAAGGATCACTAAGGCTGGTGTGATGATGTATAAAATAAAAAGTTTGTTCCAAGTTAAATGATGTCATGTTGCTTTGTCTTTCTCAAAACACCCAGCACTTTGTGCTGAAGCCTGTGAACCCACATGGTGTACTGCACAGAGAGCTGCCTTGCAGCTAACCTTGAAACTGGTCTTGACAGAAGGCAGCCTTTGTGCACGAGCCCTACTGACACCTTGAAGGGCAGAGGTTGTAGGTATTGTGGATACCTCCTGCTGTTCTTCAGTCGAGGAGTGGAGTCAAGAAGCATGGTGCACCATTGCTGGGAGGTTAGACTCCTCAAGAACACATCTGCTACACACTAGAAAAGAGATTGTCCCAAATGAAAGAAACCTCATTCCCAGTTCCAGTGTCTAGTCAAACTTCACTTTCTGGACAATTGTGATGCACACTAGCTTCTTGCCCAAACAGAGTTGGATGTGCCCTAGGGGCATGAGGCATCTGATCCAGGCAATTTTCAAATCTGTTGAGGGCATTCCCTGTCACAGAGGTTGCCTCTTTCCTGCAAGGGAGGTAAATGGCTGGTGGAACCTGCAGAAGAGTGCTCCAGCACTTTTACAGCTGGCCTCCTTTTCTCCAAAATATCCAGGGACTTTTGTCCCATCTGTTGTATTCACACTCTTATCATTTTTTGGCACTTAAGAGCCACCATCATGTGCTAGGTGCTGTACAATCCCAGTACCCTAGGGGAGGAGCTAACTGCACAGAGGGCCTACCCCAGCCAGCTTTTGTTCAGCACATTCCAAGCTAATTCAATTACTGTATTTACTTGAATATAAGATGTTTCCCCCCACAAATGGCATGGGGTGGGGGGAAGCGCCTCCTCTTACTAATCACATATGAAGCAGAGGGGGGAGCAGGTTGGGGCCAGAGTGGGATGCACAGCAGCCCATCTGCTCTTGCCCCCTGCTTCCCATCTGTAGCTTCTGCTACCCAACCAACCCCTTCCCTTCCTCTTACTGTCAGGTGCAGCTGGGATCTGGATGGAACTGGGGTCTCTCCTGGGCAGGGAGCACATGGAAGCTCCTTTCCCTGCCCAGCCAGTCATTGGCACCAAATGGCCAGACAAAGGTTGAGCTTCCATGTGCTGTGCTCCAGGATGGAGTGTTTGATGGGGGATGGAGGGAAGGAGCAGAAACGGCAGGAAACAGTTGGGGTGGAAAGGGTAGAAACTGGGGATTTGGGAGCAAAGGCAGAGATTGTGGAGTTTGGTAGGAGGGGCAGAGGCTGGGGGGAGTGCAGGTGGAAGGGGGGCAGAAAGGGTGCAGGGGAAGAAGGCAAGGGTGCTCCTCCAGCCAGTGCTGGGTGCTCCCACAGCCACTGCTTTCCCTGCTGTAGCAGTGTGTGTGGGGAGGATTCCAGACAACTCTCCAATACTTTGAGCAGTGGTCTCCAACCTTTTCAAGTAGGAGATCACCTTTGGCATTTAAAAGCAACCCAAGATCTACCATGTGCTGCCACCACCCCTCCCCCCACCCAGTAAATCAATCTGTGGGGAGGGAGTGGGAGGCAGAGGGAGAAAAAATTATTTGGGGGCTTGCCTCCCCAGCAGTAAGTCCCACCCAGCCAGGGCCCCACTCAATTTACCCGTTTCTGCCTCTACAGCACTGTCTCACTGCGGGGGCCTCAATCCAGCCCCCATCCCTTCACTCCCCACGGACTGACCTGCTGGGCTGGGGCACATGTGCGCATGCATATGGGCACTCAGCCCTCCACCCCAGCCTCAGATCGACTCCAAGAGGCTCTGAAATCTACCAGTGGATTGAGATCCACTGGTTGGTGACCACTGATTTAGATATAACATTTAGAAATTTTCCAGATGTAGAATTTAATTATTGGGAGGTCATCTTATGTTCAGGGTTATCTTGCAATCAAGTAAATACAGTAGCATTATTATTACCCCAAACAGAAAAGTGGTATTCCCTGGCAAGAATCCTATATTGGGTGCCGTGGGGTAGAACTGAATGACACTAGCTAGGCATGGAGATGGGAAGCAAAGAACCCACCCACTTGGGAGCAAAGCTTTCTTTGGTATCGCAGAACTAACAAGACAGAAGGCAGGTGTGAGTTGCACCAGACTCACTAAATCAGTGATATAAAGGCAAGTCTGTAAGAAGGGTAGATCCCCTGCTCCACAGAACAGGCTATTTCCAGCTCTCTACATTGTGGCCAGCAGCATAAATAAGGAAGCTATGCTTTGAGACTTGGGTGCCACCTGCTGTAAAGCTTTAGTTTATTTCTTGAATTGGGACAGACAAAGCAATGCAGGGGTCAAGGGGCAAGCATCATCTACACTAGTTCTCAACTTTTTTAGACTGGAGGGACCCCTGTGAAAATGCCAGCTCTTCATTTTCATTTATTTTTTGACTACATACAAATAAGCAATTTTTCTGTTGTAAAGAACTCAGGAAGATCACAACAGCTCAGGAACTTCTTTACACTATGAATCCCCATTTGAAATCTCTCGGTTTTTCTTGTGACTCCTGTTTGCACAGCTAACATTGCATGGCACCCTTCTAAGGATCTCAAGGCACCGACTACCCCAGCAACTGGGTTAAGAGTCACCAGTCTACTAAAGTGAGATGAGTTAAACTGGTTTTCTCAGGTGAGCTGGAGAGGACGGGAGAGTGATTCTTCAGCCTTGGGGAGGGAGGGGAGTGGCAGGCAAAATTGTACTGGAGGCAAATATTGCTTGAGTATCTGCAAGTGTTGCCTGATGTCTCTGACTGAAGAATTACCTCAAGGCACTGGAGCAAGCCAGGCTCAGCAAGAGACTTAGAGCTGGACTGAACTAAAGCTCTGGTATAAACCTGTACTGCTATGAAGAGGAAAGGGATTAAGGTGTTGGGGGAGGGGGTGTATGTAAAAAAAAGTCCACTCCATCTCTGTGCACCTTTTCCAACTGGCAACCCAGCTGAGAGCATTTCCACAGCTCCTACCTTTTCACCGAACTCATTTTTCATTCAAAAAACAAACCACACAACAAAAACCTTTTGATATAATTTATTGTCTTGGGGTTTTTTGCATAGGCATAAATTACAATCTGTAGATTAAAAAAACCAAAACAAAACAGTGCAGCATTTATAACAGGCTACAGAATTAAATACAGCTTGACCTCTTGCCTGTAACCATCTGTTTGCGTAGGGCTAATTTGTAACACCTTCGATAGACAAACATGGAATGAGAGTGAGACTAAAGTGAGGCAGTCCAAGGAGAATAAATAAGGAAGCTCTGCCTTGGCAGATATTTCCCTCTTATTACTGTCTTGCTGTGCTCACTCTGGGTATTTGTACCAGGATACCCAGCCTCATGATAAGCATGACTAAAGTACCAAATTTGAAACATCTTGACCCTACAGATGGGCAAGAAGTTCCAAAGCAGAAAATCATGATAATTAATCTCTTCCCACTTCAGTGCTGCGAGCTGGAGGATGGGCAGGGTTAGCAGACACCAAACATTCTTTAAGGCCTTATAATGGATCTGGCCATAGCCTAAAGATGAACACAGGTGCCTGTCCCAGGTGAGCAATCCACAGCCTGTGTTAGACACAAGCTCCCCATGCACAGCCTTAACCCAGCAAGATGTCTTATTTTACATCACACAGGTTATGGATAAAACAAATTGCCCTGCTAGGACTGGGGCAGCTCTGGCTACACACACAGGCCCAGGGAACTGCTGACGTTAGAAAGCAGAGGTACCTCTGAGGTGAGGACAGCTGGTTAAGACCACCATTTTGGATACAATTGTTTACATGCTGCTTCATGCCCCATTTTAGGCACCAAAATGCCTCTGGATCTGGCCCTAGACCCACTGCTCCTAGCAGGTGGCAAGGCCCTGCACCAGGAAGACCCACTTTTAGTCAATAACCCTGCTCTCTGGCAGGTGGTACCACCACCTATGGACTGGCGCCTCCCATTTGCATGCCAAAAGACCAGTGTTTTATTCCCAGCCCTGTGGTGCCTCTTTGCTCTGTGGGTCAAATACAAGAGCCTGTCACCCTCTGTACCTTGTGAGTAGCACTGACCAGTTCCAAAGGGAGATGCCGCCCAACCCTCCTCCCTTGTGGAACTGGAAGGCTGTCCCGCCAAGAGACGCTGACCACAAAAAACCCACTGCTTTCTAGGTGAGCAATCCCTGGCCCCTTCCCAAGTCAACATCTCTGGCCCTTCTGGGCTTCAAAGACTGAGGCAACAGGGCACAAGCCAGTGCTCCATGACTCCCAGCTCAGAGCCCGCACTTACTGGGGTGGGCGTGTGCCAACCGTGGCCAGACTTGGCGCTGCAAAGCAGGGGCCCTTGCCTTTTCTTTCAAGTGAAGGAGACATGGATGATTAGATATGCAAACATTAAACACAATGCCAATATAAGCAGAACTAAAAGTAAAGCATGCCGTACAAAACCGAGCACACGGCAGGTCACCAGCCTACGGCAGCTCCTGCCCAAACCAAAACAGGCTCCAAGCCTGCTGCTCAGCTCTGAAACCATATCCTCAACACTGAGACCCAGGCCAGCAGCCAGCCAATTTATAAACCCTTCCCCCCTCCCCACCCCAGCCAGCTGGTAACGGCACTTCTTTAACCCAGGGGAGGTTGCTTGTGGCTGAAGACGAGTGTTGCTGCCTCTCTCCTGCCAGGCAAATCCACCCGGCTTTCCTTCCAAACCGGCCAGACTCTGGGATTGGTGCTGCCAGGTAAGGAAAGGGCCAAGTCCTGGGCAGGGAATGGTGAAGCCGTCTGTTGCATTCCACAGGCCTGGCTGGCCGCAGCTCAGGGCCATGCTGCCAGCCTCCAGCAGGATGGGAATGGACACTCAGAGAAGCGGAGGTGAGACCAGAGTGAAGGGGGAGGAACAATCCCTTCCAAATAAAGTAGGTCACAAATAATTAACCATCTGACCCTGGGAAGAGGAGAGGACAAGTACCAAAGTGGCCGGATTACCAGCAATCAACAAGAGCATTGTTACTGTCACCTGGTGCCTGAGAAAGCAGCAGTAACACCGGCTCATCCAGGGGCCCTGTCAGCTTCC